GTCCTGCCAATCTAGACGCTCTTTTCCGCAAATGCTTTTAATGGAAAACTTTTCCGTTAAAAGCATTTGCGGAAAATCATGTCAGTCTAGACGTAGCCCCCCAGTTTGAATAGTTGCACCGGCTGTACTGATTTAGTCCTCGCAGGGTAATACCTCGGAGCTGCCTCCTGAGCGCAGGGGAGCCAGGCGACCGGTATTGACCAGATAGTCCAGTATTTTCACCTCCTGTCTGGTAAAAAAATTCAGAAATGTCCAGTACTTTCTGATTTTTTTTTCCTGGCCAGGAGGCGAAAATCCTGGTTTTTAAAGGGGCCACGGTGCGTGTGGTTAAACTTTTTCCTGGCATGTTTTTTGTTGTCGTGGTTGGGTATTTTTTCTGAAACCATCTGGCAACCCTACCTGAGAGCCAGGGCCTGCCCAGAGAGCTCCCGGTCGAAGGTGACAAGCACAGGAAAGCCAGAGCTGTTAAGCTATCTTGCAGACGGGCACTAAGAGCCAAAGCCATTCCTGCCTTGCCTCATCTTACTCAGGAAAGCAGTACCAGCGCCGGGCACGAAGCGGTGGGCCAGGACTTTAACCACTGAGGCAGACTTCCCCCTCAGACGCGTCCCCCAGTGCTGTCTTCTCTTCCATCAGGCCTGGTGTTAGGTTCAATGCTGCTCGCCTAGTAGCCACCGCTTTTGCTGAGCGTGCCAAGGGAAAGCTGCCCGGGGGGGCACCAAGCTCTCCCGCCAGTAATCGCCCTGCCGTGCACAGGGGAACCCTCTGGCCCGCGGTTCCCAAAATCCTGCGGCAGGATTAGGGCAGCGTGCGAGGCGCTAAATGTGCAGTGGGCCCCAGCTGCCAGCGACAGGTCTCCAGCCCGGCCGTTCTCCCCTCCTGCCCCTCGCCCTCCCCCACCCGACAGGAGCCTCGTCGCCACCTTTCTCCCTGCTAAGGCCACGGCGCAGGCTGAGGCCCCATGCCTGCCCAGCTGGCCACGTCCGCTGAATAGCCCACCCCGCCCCATGGCGGCCCACCATCGCGGGAGGGGCGGGCCGGGCGGCTCACAGGTTTGCGCAGACAATAAGCCGCGTCTTTCTTGCCTCGGCAAACGAGAGCCCCCCGCCCCCCCGCGGGCTCCACCGCCTCCAGCTCGTCAAGTGAGGGCTTCATTGTTTCCTCGTGATAATTTCATTATTCCCTTTGAATACATTGTGTGTGTTGCTAAGCCACACATAGCAACAAGTGTCTTCTCCTCCCGGCCACCCCGGCCTTCTGTGATCAATATTAAGCAGCGCGAGTGGATCGGAATATCGCCTGGAAGCGACTTTCTGGGGAACTCCTCACCTACTAATCTGCAGGGGCGAAATTTCGCAGGCTGGTGGCTGGCGGCTTCCTCGCTGGCCAGGAAAGCAGCCGGTGGGAAGAGCGACTGGCTCGCGCAGCTTCGGAAGGGCTCATCCCGCCGCGGAGCCTGGCTCCAGCTGTGTTCGACTCGGTCGACAGGAGCAAGTTCTTCCCACCCCCGCGCCCCGGACAGACCGAGGTTGCTCATAGCCAGCGTATGGTGCCCGCCCTGCCCGTGGGAGCGTGGCTGTCTGCGTACGCCTCTGTCCAGCCCAACACTGTGGTAGCTTGTGGCAGGGAGTTCCCCAGGTTATTTGCTGGGGGAGGGGGTTATGGGTCTTTCTATCACTACAAATCATTTCCCTGTAACCGCATTGGCGTTCCCCTTGGTTATGCACAGGCGTTGGGAAGAATCGCTCCCAGCTGGTTTTTCTTTCAATGCTGTTTTAGAGACCTTGGTTCTGAAACCCTCCGCCTGAGCCTTGGCATGTAGCCGGCCGGGGGAGAGCGCTGGGGTGGGGCCGCTACTGAGCAGGCCGGGGGGCCTAGCTGTGCCTGGGAGTCTAGGCCCCTGGGCTTGAAAGCTCTGGGTGTCTAGAGACTGGGGTCCCCCCCCATGTATGAGCCGCCCCAGGCTGGGCTCTGGCAGGGCCCAAGCAAAGCAAGTCCCGGGCGCTGACTAACCCTGGCTCTCCTTGCATTTAGGGCTCTGAGAGGTGACGGCCTGACCCAGCCCGCCCCCAGCCCCCCACACAGACC